CTTTTTAAAAAAAAAAATGAAAATTATGTACGGCCTCGAGTTATAGTCTATCTTTACTCCAAATTTCATTAAGATTCGGATAGTCTATTGGGATAACAAACGGATTGACCGACATTAATATTTATAAGATGACATATGCTGTAATAGCAGACGCTGGTTCTTAAGCTTCTGCTTGCGACTTCGTCCATGAGACTAATGGCCGTAATAAAAAAATTACTATAAAAGGGGCGAGCCTACTGCAATCTTTCAATTTAGCCAGAAATTGTTACTTTTTATGTTTTTATTTCTTGATATACATTTTTTTTTAAAATATCGACTATATTCAAACAGATAACCTTCAGGGTCTAAATCGGGGTAACATACCACTAGACCACAACGCTCTAGTCGCTCGCTTTCATTAAGGATGTGACAAAATGACATTTACAATAATCAATTTATCATACAAACATTGTAATGTTAGATAATATCAAAACAATACTATTAGACGATCATTATTATTTTTTATTCAATTAACGACAGTTGACAGTTGTTATCAAATGATAAGTCATAATCATTTAGCAATTATAATATTGTTTACACTGTTATAACGTAATTAGTAATTACCGAGGTAGACATTGTAGTCTTCTGCGTCTGTCTTTATTTTTCTATTTTTTTTATAAAGACAGACAACTGGCTTTTACAGCTTCACCGAACGAAAGGGGGCGAGTGCAGATAGCACTACAAACCCGCAGAAGGACTTATGGAGTGACTAAAGGCCAACCCCTGCCTGATGGATAAGACGTTAGTCTGAAGGCGACGTTAGAAGTTCGAGTTCTATGCTCTGGCTATCGGAATTTCGACCCCCGTTGTAATTGGACGAATTTGCTATCTCCCCTATTTCACAACCTTGCATTATAAGCTGCATAAATTTCGTTAAAGAAATTATAAGATAACCCATTTATCGAAGAATACTATATAATATCAGTTTACGAACAATGAAAACTTGCAAAAACGGGGAAAATGTAATACAGACGAAATTGCGCGGGTCAGCAAGTTGCATATTGACTATTGCACAACTCTAAAATCGATAATACGAGTTACAACACGATTATAATTATGTCGATAACTCCATTTGGCACATATAGAGATATCAGATAGTGATGACGTCACGAATCGATAGCCTACCAACGTAGATAAGATATCAACAGACGGCGCCGCGTACCATTCCCAAATTATTGATTCAAGCTCTCACTCTTATTTAATTAATCTGACACAAGTTAACAAGTATCTTCTAAAATAGATTAAAAATGTAGCCGAATTAGTAGAATTCTAGTGTACTACTACTACTACACATTTATAAATATATAGAATATAATTTTATTTCTAACTTACAGTAAAGAAAAGGCATAAATAATGTATTAAAGAATTCATGTATAATTTTGAAGGCAATTTAGTACGATAGAGTGATTGAAAACAAATGTAGTGATTGAGTTCTTGATGTTCTGTGAAGAATTTATTGCTCGTCAATATTATAACTAATTAAATATGTATATGCTATAAGAAATAAGTTAAGCTACTTTTATTTAAGTAATTTGGATAATTTGAAATATAGATAAAATAAATACAATCTTTGTTTTAATCACCAAAAGGTCGATCCACGCGGACAAATACGTGGGTAACAGCTAGTAAACAACATAAAATTTAATTTGTCACTCTGTAAATACTGATGAGTATTAAAGAATTCATTGCACGTCAATATTATAATTACTTAAACATCTATGCTATAAATAAACCTGTACTCATCAAATCGACCCCCGTGGAGTTGAACCCAACGTTTTATGAGATAACTAAACGTTAACATTTCTACGAAATGGAAGCCCAGTTAAAACACAGTACGTTTAATTGAAATACTCGATAGTTAACGGCCCACGCGTTTATTAATAACCACAGATAATAAAATATTAAGCCTGAACAGACGCACACAAGTGTTGTTGCAAAGGTTTGTATTACCTTTTCTTACAGCCTTGTCTGCTCAGTCTATTTTAGCTCCTGTTACAAAGATAATTTATAGAAGAAAAATCTTTGAATTAATTTTGATTATACTGAAATTATGTGCTCTGGAATGTCATATTTCTAATCTTAGAAGTTTCCCATTTAGATAGGTATTAAACTTGGATAAAATATTGCATACTTTGCGACAAAATGTAACAATACCGATTTATGATATATTGTAGTTGAAATCACATTAAAACTGAAGAAATACAACTAAACTAAATACTTAATGTACATTGTAATACTTAATTAACAGTTAATTGTGTAAATAAACAAAAATATTTATCTAAATTAGTTAGTTTTAATTTTCTTAACGATTATAGTTAATTATCCACATAATTTTCATTATCATTATTTATTACGTACAATATTTTGCCTACTGAGTAATTATAATCATTAATATTGAAAGTTAGTATACCGAATAATAAGAAAAAAGGCAAGGGCAATTCATGTGAAATTTTGTGGTTAGTGCATTTTACACATAAGCCATACGGATTGAACATACAAAAATATACTTTGTAACATTCGCAATAAAATTTCAAATATCTATAGCTAACCAACAGAGAAATAATACTGAAGAAAATATTTCAGTATGACGCATAACTATGGAACTAGATAAGAAATTGTTACTCATGCACAAACTAAGTCAGTACCTAGAGAAAATGCTGATTGTTTATGACGTCATTGGTATAGGTTGATACTTATGTATTAATAGTAACAGAATTACGGACGGAATACATAATGCGAGCAAAAAATATAATATAACTATACTTTTTCTATGTTTTTGTCCACTAAAACTGCCCATAGGCTAAGGTAGCCGTTTACCATCAGATAGCCCGTATACATGTTTGCCACTTAAGTAGTATAAAAAAAACATTGTTGAATATGGGAGAGACATTTTAGGTAACAATTAGTAATAACAAATATAGAATTTTTTTATAATTTTGCTGTTTAAATTTGCTAGGAATTAAATTCAATTTATTTACATAAAATATCGTACCAACTACTTCCTACAAGTCTGGTCATACTAATAGTAGGTATATATTATTATACATTACACGTATGTTGTGTTAATAATTCGCAATTAGAAATAATTGTTTTATAATAAACTATCAATGGCATACATTACATTGACTGATTGTCGATGATTCAAGTTTTCCGTTCAAAATACATGTATTTACAGTTGATAATCGGTATGAATGAATGAATGAATGATAAAATCTTTATTGTTCCTCTCACAGAAAGAAATAACAATTACATAAATTAATATATATACATCAAATATAAAAAAAACTAATATTATCTACCCCATCTGGAATTACAGTCGTAACTATAAAAAAACTCTATTCCCAATTGTTCTATTATGATCACTGTTAATTTATAATTAAGTGTCAAATGATAACGTCAAAAATCATAGTTTGACTTGCGATAAACTTTGACTTTGACGCATTGACATTTTTCTTAGGTTAATTTTTTATCGCTATTATACAGGATAATATAGTAGTGTGGCACGTAATAATATTAAATGGGGAATAACAATGTTTTTTTTTTTTTGTAAAAATTCGTCGATTGTTTTGATTTCATTACTTACTAACCTGTTATTAGTTACGACGTACTAGGACTAGAAATACTAGGTACCTAGTATTTCTAGTTGATATTTAGTGTCTATGAAGAAAGGAAAGATGTAAGTAGGTATTAACTTATTTCAAAACTAATACCTTATAATCGATTGATTTGGATCTATTTATTCGATTAATAGGATTTTCTAGTAGGTATTTCTGGTTTATATTAGTGTCTATGAAGAAAGCAAAGATGTAAGTGAATATTTCAGAACTAATACCTACCTCTTGGACATTATAATGGGGGTTAAGTACATTAAGTAATTATGTAACTATCTATTTATTGTCTATTAATAGAATTCGCTGTAAATGTAATTTAGAAATTAATTAGTTAATAAGTAGTAGGTACGTATCTAATCATTTAATAAAAAAAAAATATAATAGTACCTAGCTATACCTATCCAAAACAGTTATGATAAATATCTATTTCATAATATATTTCAGTGTACCGATTGTTTTCTTAATTTGTTATGTAATACTTATAAGCTTTAGAATGTTGCTATCTATATTAGAATTAGACAAATGAGTTCTGCCTACATCTTTACCTATACAAATAGGAAGAAATATATTTCTTAATTTGAAGCTCCCTTAAGTCGGTCTATCATAATCAGTTTATCTATGACTATCTTTATTTCCCTGCAATTTACGATATGAATTAATCTAGGTAGCTATATGATTAACTAAACTACGGTTAGTAATGAAAATTGAAATGGCAAGTTAGTCAACCATGTGATAAGAACTGCCAATCGATGGAGAAAAAGGTTCTCGAGTGGCGACCAATGCAGGCAAATGCAGTAGAATATCGGTGTTGAAAGCATGAAAGGAATCTGTGGAAGCTGGTGGCTCTGGAAGGCCATCCCATGCATTAGTTAACTTATAGTTTGTACTTATCACCGAATGGTGATTATTCATTCATTCATAATTTAAGAGCCACAATCCACGATCTTCCTTCATTCTCTTTAAATGTTGATACGACAAGACTGCAATTATGTCTTTAACTTGCTTGATATAACTGTGCCTTGATCTTCCCCTTCACCTCTTTCCTTCTATTTTTCTCTTAATAATTTTCGTAAAGTCATCATGCAAGTCATACTAAGTGTCCCAACATTTTCCCTCGTCTATTTTCAATAGTATTCAAGATATTTTTCTCTTATTTCTTACTTTATCTTTTCAGCTAATAGGTACTTTTCATACTTCTCCAGCACTACATTTCAAAAGCTTCCAGTTTATTCCTTTCTTTTTGAGTTTGTCCACTTCTCACATGTATATAAAGTTATAGTGACCAATAGACAATATTTTTTAAAGAATGATGTTAATGACTTGATGATAGTAAAGATTAAAAAAACATACCTGTGGATCCAAGATCTGTAGACTCCGACGACGCCTCGTCACTATGCACCGCAGAAAGCTGGTACAATATTAGTACCAAACACACGCTAAAATTAACAACCGCCATGGCTGTGCCAATTATAACTATTGTAATTAATAAACATACAACTCAGTCACCATAACTACGACTCTAAATCACTCTATGGCCTCCCATCATCAGTCATCACATTTATAATCCAACTATAAATACCACAAAAGTTTAAAAAATACCACTTTTAATATGAAAATCACAGTTAATATCCAAAATACTAGATAAAAATCACTGTCACACTTCTCTTCTGATAAATACGTGAGTTATTTGTTATAGTTTTGTACGAAAAATATTGCCAAAGACAAACACGCGTTCACAGCTATAAATAGTGGAACATCAACAGTTCTCGACTAATCACTAAGCTCAACTGAACTGACTGAGCGAGCTAGTCAGGTACACGATGGTAGTGGTAGCCGAGCGAAACGACATACGAGACAGAATGAATGAAAGAAAGAAACGATTGTAGCAATAGAGCGAGCAAGCAAATCGAACGTCGAAGAGTAGTGTTGTACATATTTGTAGCAATCGGTGTCGATTAATTCATGAATATAAACAATAATTATGTATTTTCGTAATTTATGCGTTTATACGTAACACATTTTGTAATACTGTTCTAAACTACAGACAGATACATGTACTTAAGTGTAATGTGATGCAAAACTGCACCGATTTAATGATATTTATTATACAGTTTATTTCCTTTAGCAGTAAAATAATATAACTAAAAAACGGTAACATGTATAATATAATTAAGCTTATTACAATTGACAGTTTTGTTCTTTATTAATCCAATACATTGTTTTTTTATAAATTTATTGAAGTATTTATTTTAGTTAATTTAATTATTCTAATTTCAATAATATATAATTAATGTATCTAATTGAAATTAGATTTTTAATAAAACATTTTTTGCTTTACCTTAGGGTAAAATAATACAAAATAGATTAATAATTACTGTCTTATTTGTCCATGGCAAAGTCGATATTTCTACGAATAACTGAGTCGCACCACTAATATCTTTGACAAGTGCAAGCACGCACTAGTGTCGGAGATACTCTAAACTAAAGTCAATGGATATTAAACCTTGTAATTTAGCTATTTAGAGGGGCTTTCTTGGACTTTGAATAATGCAATAAGGTTCACAATTATTTGCAGCTTGCTGGCGCCACTTTTTGCACGGCAGCGAGTGGCGGCGCTTCCAGGCGACCACGCGGCGTGCATTCTTTTCAGTTTTCTTTGCCTTGTGTATTTTTTGTCGTAAAGATGCGTTGGCAGTGCAACTTTCTACAATAAATTTTGATAGATTTACAAGGGAATACTCGAGACTAATTATCTCGGGTGACTATTATATTTTGATGACTGTTATACATTCAAATTAAAATGTTAAGTCTACTAGTGTATAATAACGTTTAATATATATTTATTACCAGGCTTAGTAAATACGTAGTATGCTAATGGTATATTGTACCCGCCTGCGCTAACGGTTTACACTGACGGGGCATCAGTAGAGGAAGACCATTCATGGTTGCCATTCCAGAGAGATTAGATGTCATGCAAGTTATCCAGTAATTTCCCTGCCTAGTCTGACCCCACAGCCAAAAAACGTATTTAACTCTAATGCAAGCTGCTTGGCGGCTGAAATAGGTGAGACTGAAGACGCAGAATTTTACAACTGTGGAAAAGAATTGTTAGTAACGTGGACTAAAGATCCCAGTGTCAGTAATCACTACAGATTGACTTCCACACGGTTCCACCAGGAAATCGTCTACACAAATTCCTGGTGAATTTGGCTGACTGAGGTCGGTTCATTTCATGATCCTCCACTGGTGCCCCGCCAGTGTTAACCGATAGCGCAAGCGGCAACATTACTCCATTATGATCTATTCAAAATATTACAGTCTTGCTCTGGTAAAATACTGTTAACATTACTTACGATTATGATCATAGTCAGTTCTTTGACATTTACAATAATGTATTCGATTCCTAGCTGAGAAACCTTGACTTTAGACTTTTATTGTTACATATTTTAAAGATCACAATTTAGTTATTAAGAGGGGCGAAATAATTGCCGAGTTTATGTTTTAATAATATTACATAGCGTGGTGGATATTAATGGGATATTAGTGGTCTAATGGACTAGCGTGTGTTGGTCAACCTAACATTGCAATGTGGCCAACATTGTAATATTAGGTCGACCACCACGCGTCCTTATCACTTAGAGATATGAAAAATAGATAGCCGATTCTTAGACCCACTAAATAGGCATATAAAATTTCATAAAAATCGGTCAAGCCGTTTCGCAGGAGTATATAGTAGAGTAGAGTATGTATGCTTATATCTTTAAAACTACGCAACGGATTTTGAAGAGTTTTTTTTTAATATATAGAGTGATTCAAGAGGAAGGTTTATATGTATATATAATATATGTACACCCGTGCGAAACCGGGGCGAGTTGCTAGTATAAGATAAAGGTTTATTTACCTCTCTCGACATTTCGGCTATAATCAGTTTTTTAAACTCGGAGACCAATTTGACAGATATAAATGTAAAATTGTCATATGATGTTACCACCTGTATAGGGGTAGTGCTGTACCTGCGATACCGATTTGTTTAATCGTAATTTTTTATTTTTGCATATCAGTTTTGTTGTTATTGTAAAGATTTAATAAGTTAGAGCGTTATTGAATTAAAACGTTTCTGGGCTATTGAAATCACATTATATATTATATGTGTGGATATTAATGGGATATTAGTGGTCTAATGGACTAGCGTGTGTTGGTCAACCTAACATTGCAATGTGGCCAACATTGTAATATTAGGTCGACCACCACGCGTTCTTCCCTGGAAAACGCACCCGTAGAAGTCGCGGGTTCGATTCCTAACACGGCACAAACATTTGTATATGAGTATGATTGAATCGGCCTTTCTGTTTTCTATGTATAATATGTATGTATTTACGAACAAGAATATATCTATGTATTTGTATTAGTTATCTAGTACCCATAACACAAGTTTTAGCTAACTTAACATGGGTCTAGATGGCGCTGTGTAAATTGTTCTGATATTATTATTATAATTACGAATTCGTCAAGATATGCTTACTTTTTTTTTCGGACTACTCTAATGCTCTTTGCTGCAGCTGGCCTTTACAGTTACACCGGATTATACGGGGCGAGTGCAGATGGCACTCCAAACCCGCGGCAGGACTTATGGAGCGGCTGAAGGCCAAATATTACCTGACGGGTACGACTTTAGGCTGAGGGCACCACTAGGGGTTCGAACCTCGACTCAGGCCGTCGTAATATCGATCCCCGTTTGAATTGGATGGGAGATCGATCATAGGGGAGATGTGCTTACTGCCTCGCCGCACTATATATACCGTTGGCTCAGTCGGGAGCACCATACCATTATCATTCATAAAATAAACCTTGCGAGTTTTACGAGTAGATGCTATACTTATTACATCTTAAGTTTTAAGTTTCAGTACATCAACAGTCTATCAATATTTAAGAATATTCATATATCTATCTAATTTGTGGTGATTAATATAATAACAATAATAATATCCCTCGATAATTAACATCGCGCCATCTAGTCCTTAGCTAAGTAGAGCTTGGGTACTAGACAAGTGATATATTATTTTTGTACGTGCATTTATAATACATTCATAAATACAAATGTTTGTACTGTGCGAGGAATCGTACCCGCGGCCATCGTAATGCGCTAGCTAGCCCATCGAGGTCGTCAGAATGTAATTATGTATTTGAATTTCCCATATAGGTATAATCAAAATAAAATTATTCACCTACTCAGGTATATACGAGTCGAAAAAGTTGCTACATTAATATAGATATAAAATAGGCACTTAAGTAGGTTTCTAGTTCTCCAATAAAAATAAAACAAAAGAGACACATTCATACCAGAAACAAACGGGTATGTCATAAAAAACAAAAGACCGGAGTCCGTTCGAGAGATCACTGCTTTGTTCGAGATTGGAATGCGGCGAAAGATTTTGCTCTGTAGAGTATTTCATTTACTTATCATTATTTCATTTGCTTCTCGGGATTTTTATATTAGACAAGCTTATTTAATTATATTGTTAAGCGTGTCTTAATAGGAATAATTTTATAGTAAATCTGCCTCGCCAATCGTTGTTGTGGCATAAAAATTTTAGTATTAATATTCGATAACAGGGTTCGTTGATATAAGGGTAAACATTTAGGGTCCTGTGTAATTTTTAATGCTGTATTATTGATAAAATAAAAAAATAATAACAAATATAAAAAAAATCTTAGGGGTGATCTAACCCTTATCACTTAGAGATATGAAAAATAGATAGCCGATTCTTAGACCCACTAAATAGGCATATAAAATTTCATAAAAATCGGTCAAGCCGTTTCGCAGGAGTATATAGTAGAGTAGAGTATGTATGCTTATATCTTTAAAACTGCGGAACGGATTTTGAAGCGATTTTTTTTTTAAATATATAGAGTGATTCAAGAGGAAGGTATATATGTATATATAATACATGTACACCCGTGCGAAACCGGGGCGAATTGCTAGTATAAGATAAAGGTATTTATTTACCTCACTCGACGTTTCGGCTATAATCAGTTTTTTAAACTCGGAGACCAATTTGACAGATATAAATGTAAAATTGTCATATGATGTTACCACCTGTATAGGGGTAGTGCTGTACCTGCGATACCGATTTGTTTAATCGTAATTTTTTATTTTTGCATATCAGTTTTGTTGTTATTGTAAAGATTTAATAAGTTAGAGCGTTATTGAATTAAAACGTTTCTGGGCTATTGAAATCACATTATATATTATATTAAAAAGAATTTTATGATTATTGTAATTAAAAAATAAAAACAAAATTAGAACAAATAATTTTTATAATATATGTATATTTTTATTTTGTATATCTATAGTTTTTGGTTGATTTTGATGATTGTTCTTTTAAAAATTGACATTTAATTATAGGTATGGGACACAGTTTAGACACGGCAGTGCTTGGTAGACAATACATTTCCCTATTGTCATTTAGTATATAAGATCAATATTTTATGTACATATTGTCAGTCTATTATCATCTACCAACAACATAGTATTATTTACCCGCAACAATATGTAACACCAATCATTATGAATAATATTATTGTGAAATCTACAAAATTCATCTTAATTTCCATGATCAAAATGGTATTTGTTTAACATTGAACTATTTATTCCTAAGAACAACGTAACCTATATAAACAAATAAATATCATCATCTCAGCTCGGAAGACTTCCACTGCTGAATAAAGGCCTCCCCCAAAGATCTCCACTAGGATCGGTCCTGCGCTAACAACTAACTATATAAAATGACAATTATGAACTTTTAATATATGTTATATTAAAAGTATACGAATGGATAGCAATATCAGAAACTTAAATAGTTCTTTCTCTCTTCCAAAATCTATTGGTCATTCCAGAATTATTTAAAATTCTATATTCACGTTTACTAGTGATTGTTATAAAAACAATACACATATTTTAAAGTTAGTTCTTCTAATAGAGGACTTCTTACACAATATTCAACTTTAATTATCTACCTGTCGTTTCCTGGAAGTCGTTCGTCTTTCTGTTCACAGTTGGGCTACGAAATAAGAAACGTTTTTCCGCTATCACCTATTCAATGATGCTTTTTATAAGTAATTATAAATTTTTAATTTATATAAGAGATTTTTCCTTTATTTACTAATGTTGACTAATTTTTGTTATATATATTAAATATCTATCATGGCTAGGGAAGATTCACTTTAGTTTATGGTCAGAAATAATTCTTATAATATAATACAAGTGCTGTTTTCTATATAAGCGTAAGATCCTCAATATGTATTGTATGTGTATATTTTATATATCTTAGATGTTCTTATCTTTAGTATGTTATTTAGTAGTTAGACGACAAACAAACTTATGAGTATGGTATAATTTAAGGTTGGATCTACTGATATTCAAATATTGTTATAATATACTGTGACTTACCTAAAGTACTGAATTGAGTTGCACCATTGATTTATCAAGAACTGTTAAAATATTTAGATTTTTTTACACTAACTTCATAGATTATTATTGTGACAAGGCATAAAAGTGTTTCCATGTCAATGATCACTTTATAAATAAATGTGACAACACTGCTAACAAGGGCGGCCGGCTTTTGATTGTAGAAAGATTATAACATCCAATTTATTTGGATGTTGCGTACTCTGGGAATTCCATAAATTTGTTCTCGTTACTCTAAAGCTTTTATATTATAGAAAATTATTTATATTATTACAAACAAATATCCAAGAATCTTCATAAATTATATTTTTATGAGTATGTATATGTTTGATTCCGATATGAATATAACAGAATTATATGATGTTTTGACTCACCTTATAAATATTATTATATATCTATTTCAAGGAAGACGAACCAATTGTTTACCAACCATTATTTTGGTGGTACTCAACAGCATAGATTTAGACTATTATATTTAAATCTATGGTGTTGATTTTCTTTCAAAATGATAAAAAAATATGTTAGGAGCTGATATTTACTATGATAAAATTACACGGCACGTCATACATTTTTTTTTGGGTAAATAAACATTAGTGCTAAATAGTTCGTCCCTGATTTCGCCTACCTGTAGCTTATAGGCGAAATCATATACTACTACCAACTATTTCTAATACTGCAAAACTGCTACTACTTTTGCTGTATTATGCATAAAATATAATAGCTGTTTTGCACAGTATCACATATAGTATTAGATATAGTCTAAACAAATTATTTCACCTTTGCAAAAATTAATAAAATTATAATTTTTATCGCTATTTTTATGACCACACCACTCCACTCCACTCTTGAGTAAAAGGTCTCAAATAATGTGGCGCCTGACTCAGCAGCCTCTTATCAGGATCAGACGGAGATAAGAGTAAAAAGTTGCCGCTTGGCAAACAATGGCTCAAATACAATCAGTGTGGTAGTTTACAGTTTACTGATACTCGTATCTACCTGTTCTGACTTGTTGAATATGACTAACCTCTCTTGTTTTAAAGTCGTTATCGTTATCTAATTATTGACTAAATTCACCAAGGTTTTGTAAACAAATTTCAAGAATTTTCTGCTGCTTTATTATGTAAAGAAACAATTCTCATTTACAATTTTTGAGTTATACAGGCTCGGCCGTCTAGATGGTCGCGGATTACAAACATTTGTATCATTGAGTATGATTGTATATAATTATATATCGGTCTGGGTATGTTACAAAAAATTGCTATGTATTTATATCAGTTGTCTAGTAGTTGTAGTAAATATAACGTAAACTCTGCTCAGCTTGGGACTAGATGGCGCTGTGTATATTGTCCTGAGCTATTGTTATTATTAATTTTGTATAAATAATTTGGATTGTTGATTTTTATGATGATTGAGATGTATAAAAAAAAAGATCATTACGCTACCTATATATAGAATTACATTAATTAATTAATCTAATATCAGATGCAGTTCGTTTATTATCTCCTGCTGTGGTTTGATCACCACCATTAGATGGTGATGTACATAATTATATACACCTATACGTAGTCGCAGGCACGACTAGTTATATAAAATACAGTTACTAATTCTATTTATTTTACTATTATTCCCAATTGATACTAATATCCTAATATTTTCTTGGAAAATAAAATCTTCATGAACTTCTTTGACGTTTCGACTTCTTGTTATTGTGGTTGATAATGGTCTTATACCTATACCTGTACGTACGAGTATGCTCTATGTATAATTAAAGTTCCTACAAATATTTTCTTACGACGCAGAATTTTCATGACCGTCAATCTTATTCTTCTTCTGTCTAGGAGGTTTGTGTTTTAGTGTCGTAGGTGGTGTAGTTGTCGTAGTCGGTGTAGTTGTTGTGGTCGGTGTAGTTGTTGTGGTCGGTGTAGTTGTTGTGGTCGGTGTAGTTGTAGTGGTCGGTGTAGTTGTAGTGGTCGGTGTAGTTGTAGTGGTCGGTGTAGTTGTAGTGGTCGGTGTAGTTGTTGTGGTCGGTGTAGTTGTTGTGGTCGGTGTAGTTGTTGTGGTCGGTGTAGTTGTTGTGGTCGGTGTTGTTGTTGTGGTCGGTGTAGTTGTTGTGGTTGGTGTTGTTGTTGTGGTCGATGTAGTCGGTGTAGTTGTTGTGGTCGGTGTAGTTGTTGTGGTTGGTGTTGTTGTGGTTGGTGTTGTTGTGGTTGATGTAGTTGTAGTGGTTGGTGTTGTTGTAGTGGTTGATGTTATTGTGGTAGTTGCTGTTGTTGTAGTAGTTGGTGTCGTTGTAGCCATTGTTGTGCTCGATGGCGTTGTTGCTGTTGTTCCTTCAGTCGTCGTTGCTTCAGTTGTACTACTAACGAACGTTGTTGTTTGTACTGTAGTAGTTGTACTTGCTGTTGATCCAGTAGTCGATGGTGATTGTTTCAACTTGAATTTTAGTATTTGTCGCGTTGTTGAAATTTTATTTGTTTTTGTTGTTCTTCCCAGTATTACTTTAACTATGCTCAATGGTATCCAATGACCAGGTACCTCTGCCTCCACTGGATTTGCGATGAACAATAATGGATCATTCTCTATATTTGCCCATTTTTCTCCCAATAAACTTTTAAATAATGTAAGTCCAAATACTGTTATTATTACTGAAGATAACACTAGAAAATAAATTTAAATATCGTTTCTAAAATTGTAATTACAATGAAAACAATTAGTGGATACATATAATTTGGTTCCACTACCATTGTTATATATGTATAGATATTTACATTAATTAAAAGACTTGTCAGTAATGTGGAATATTTGCCCCATTGCCAGCAATGTATCTTTTCAACTTGTCCTTAGGCCATCATCTGAACTCCATCGTCTGGTGACTTTTTCACGATGGGCTGGCTGACCTGATTTATCGACCATCCTCCACTGGTGACCCGCCTGTGTAACGATATAGTTAATACAGGCGGGTACACATTCCATTATTATGGACTAATAAAATATTACACCAATTATTTTATTAGGATTCATCACACAAATAGACCGTGGTGATTCAAGTGAGAACTTTAATATCGGGTTTAGTTCTACCATATTAGTAGCTAGTGAGAGTATAATTTTAACAAAAAAAAACACAAAAACATCTAAGAAGTAACCTATCAGATTTGACACAATATAATTGATAATATCTAGAAATGCCAATTAACTTGTTTATTAATTAATATGCTAATTAGTAGGGAGAGGATTTTCTTATATCAATATATTTCAAACCAAAAGTTGTTGTTTTCAACGGGAAAATCGCTCATTATCTTCTGAATGAACAAAATGATTTTTAATTGCCTGTTGTCGTATACTTACATTAGAATAAATGTATACATAGTTATAATACATACAATTGAATATATATGTATGTATATTATATACCATTTATATCATAAATATGTATGACACACTAATAAATAGGATATATATAAATAGAACACATACATATACACATTAGTATTCAAAGAATCAAACAGAAATGTAGAAACGTACTTTGCATTTTTGTGAATATTTCCGTGAATATTTTCTTTTTGCATACATTTTATCACCTTTATACTGACGTTCTTATAAGCATCGTTGTATGCGTACTCAACAATTTCAAATACACTTCAATAAATAAACAAGTTAAATTGATTGTTAGTCCTCATGTGCATGAATTTTAATCGAAATAGTTTTTATGACTTTTTTAGTATAATGACTCGATGTAACCTTGAGATAATTTAAAGCAAACAATACAAATGATATGTAAAATTACATTTATTTCAATAGTATGCACAATTTATACATGTTATAAATCAAGGTCTCCCGTTGCGTATTTGTATATATCTATGTTCGCGATAATCTCAAAAATTACTGGTTTGATTTTCAGGGGGGTTTAGTCTATCAATAGTGTGATTCCTGAGGAAGTATTACATGTGTAATTCGTTAAAGTTTTGTGTAAATTAATTGAAATACCAGTGTGACGAAATAAATACTATAATTTTTCTTTCTACGTATGTAGACAAAAAATTAGAGATATATATACTCTACTGTCACATTTCATTTACCTGGAATTAATTATGTATAAAGTAACGCTTATGTTGTCAAAATTTAACTATAGTTACTAGAAAATAATATACTCCTTAAAAAGAGTTTTATAAATTTAATTTATATATCTAATTTACAAGTATTTCTATATCACAAAAGAAGCATGAGCTAAAACGGAAGAAAACTGGTTCTGTTAGACTATAAATGTCATTTTAAACAATATTAGTTGTTAGTCAGCTATGACCATATCGATTATTGCTTAAATGCAAACAAAAACATTATTTTTTGACAATTTAATTACTGTAGTAAGCCTAGTAACCGCTTCAGATATACTCATTACAGAATCATTTCCGAAGACAAGAACATAATTTTTAATCAGTTAGAAATTAATGACTAGGAGGCATCACTTATTCGTACTCCAGCATGGCATGGCATGGCATGTGGCATCACATGAGTGTCACATGATAACGTGATGCCGCAGTACTGTTCATGAGATAGAGGACGGTTACTTACTATCAAGACAGCGGCGGATGTCCCTTCAGCTAATTACATGAAATAATTGGAGGGACAAACCATCTGAATAGGTTATAGTTCTAAAGTCAGTAGTATTGTGATAAAAACATCCATAACATATGTACCAACGTTCGATGATGTATTTTAGATTAGTACACCACCGTGTATGATTATTATATGAGCATACTGTTGATATTTTACGTAATAGATTATAATAAAGGAATTACAAGTCTTTGCAGCATTTAAAAACTATTAAGTCACTTTGTAAAATGAAAAATTTTCACTGTGTAAATAGGTGTTTATTTAGTTGATAAGGCACTTCATTAATGCCTTATAGAGATAGAATATATAATATCAAAGCTTGCTACGACTGAAGACCGGGACCATCATGTTTTAAAGACCAAATTATACAAAATGGAATATTTACCTACCTACCTAAAAATACTGTATTGAAGAATATGAACAGCGCCATCTAGCGTATATTAAAATAAATCCAGACAAGGAATATTTGTCCTTATAAAGGTCCTTTTTTGTGCAAAAATATGTATGTGTATTTTTGCACAAAAAATTACAACATTAGGGAGATCAAAATTCCATTATCGTAAGGTACGTCAGTATAATAAAGCAATCCATATATGTATTGACAAATTTTGATGATATTTTATTTCTAAACAATTAGACAATGTGTAAATAATAAGACATTGTAAATCTGGTTAACAAGTTGTACCATTAGGTATCGGTGTCATCTCACACTTGGCACTGCTAATGTAATGAAACATATCGCACAAATTATATTAGAAAAGTGTGCAAGTGGAAAAAATTGCGCAATAATTAGTTCTATTGTAAATAATTCTGATTATTCATAAACGGTATTTTTATATATACTAAGCGGAAAGCCAGGTATAACACTCATGAAATTGGTTTATATAGACCAAGTAATAAAGTGGAAATAAGAAAATCAATTAACTTTTTATACTAAATTGTTGCAAAAAACTCTGTTTCTCAACACAACAGGCTGTGGGCAGATCAATTACACAGTTTTTTTTTATCCAGAAGTATATAAAAAAAAGTATTATTTACAGTTATAAACAACGTGATTTAAAATATTGGTAATAATATTTTAATTAAATATTCGAATTCATGTGACTATCCGATTTATTAGCAAGTCTCTTAGCTGGTGATTTCTTAGCTGATTGAGATGGTTTAGCGGCTTTCGTTGGTGCTTTTGTTGTTGTTTCAGTTGTAGCTTCTGTTGTTGTTTCCGTTGTTGCTTCTGTTGTTGCTTCTGTTGTAGGTTCTGTTGTTGCTTCTGTTGTTGCTTCTGATGTTGTTTCTGTTGTAGCTTCTGTTGTTGCTTCTGTTATTGCTTCCGTTGTTGCTTCCGTAGTCGGTTCCGTTGTGACTTCTGTTGTGGTTTCCGTTGTGGCTTTCGTTGTGGATTTCGTTGTGAATTTCGTTGTCACTTCCGTTGTTGCTTCCGTTGTCACTTCCATTCTTATTTTAGTTGGAACTTCGGTTTGTGCTTCAGTTGTAGCTTCTGTGACTACTTCTATGGTTGCTTCTGTAGATCTTTCAGTGGACGCATCTGTTATTCGTTCTTTGGTTGTTTTTGATACAACAGATGTTGATGTTATGTCACTACTTGATTTTGAAATTGTCAAAAACGTAGGCGCAGCTGTAGATAGTGTAATCCGTGATTTGGTTGTGGAAATGATAATCTTTTTTGTAAGTTGTGGTACAGTAGCGGTTGTTTTGACTGCTGATAATATAATTCGAACAATGCTTAATGGCATCCAATGTCCAGGCATGTTAGATTCTACAGGATTAGCGATGAAAATTAATGGATCATCTTTATCTACAGGCAATGAATATGAAATTGTGGCGGTAGCAATGATCCAAATAAATACTCCATGTGGCCTCACTGAAAAAGGGTGTGATACAAAATATTAAAGTAATTAAGATAGTGTAAGCAAGTTGTGGTTTCTGAAATTGTCTGTATACAAAATAAATGCGTTCTAAGATTCGTGGTGCATCCATTATATGTACTTTAAACAGTGCAATTTCGGAATATCCGGTTAATTTACTACCACATCTTGTGAGCTGCAGACGTATCCACGCAGATAATTTTGTATACCCCGTTTCTCTACAATTTTCAGAAACCACAACTTGCTTACACTATCTTAATTACTTTAATATTTTGTATCACACTCTTTTTCAGTGAGACCACTTGGAGTATTTATTTGGATCATTGCTACCGCCACAATTTCATATCCATTGCCTATAAATAAAGATGATCCATTAATTTTCATCGCTAATCCATATGCCTGGATTTGGTTGTAAGGAATTATAATCAGCAGTCAAAACAACCGCTACTGTACCACAACTTACAAAAAAGATTATCATAATCACGGATTTTTGTAAGTTGTGGTCCACTGAAAGAGCAACCATAGGTAGTTTTGACTGCTGATAAGAAATGACAACGGAAGCAACAATAAGTGACAACGAAATTGAAATCCACAACGGAAGCAACAGAAGTCCGGAACCGACTGCAATAACAGAAGCAACAACAGAAACTACAACAGAAACAACATGTAACAGAAGCAACAACAGAACCTAAAATTCTACATCTCAATCAGCTAAGAAATTAAGAGAGCGATGAAATATTTTAATGTTTATAACTGTAAATAATACTTTTTTTTATATATCTGGATCTTTATCTACAGAGGCAACAATGTTAATTGATTTTTTTATGTTTAACTTGGTCTATTGTGGCGGTAGTATATATAAAAATACCATTTATGAATAATCAGAATTATTTGAAAAGTAATTAGGCAAATTTTTCCACTTGTAATCTAATTTGTGCGATACAAAATACAACTTGTTAACCAGATTTACTATGTCTTATTATTTACATTTCTAAGATAAAATATCATCAAAATTTGTCAATACATATATGGAGCAAGTTGTGGTTTCTGCAAAAATATAAATTGTAGAGAAACGCTAGATGGCGCTGGGTATAAACATTCCATTTTGTATAATTTATCTTTAAAACATGATGGTCCCGGTCTTCAGTCGTAGCAAGCTTTGATATTATATATCCTATCTCTATAAGGCATTAATGAAGTGACTTATCAACTAAATAAACACCTATTTACACAGTGAAAATTTTTCATACAAAGTGACTTAATAGTTTTTAAATGCTGCAAAGACTTGTAATTCCTTTATTATAATCTATTACGTAAAATATCAACAATGCTCATATAATAATCATACACGGTGGTGTATATACAACATCGAACGTTGGTACATGTGTTATGGTTGTTTTTATCACAAAAGTACATATAATGTCCCTCCAATTACGGATCACTTGATTAGTAACCGTCCTCTAACGTAACGTTATTCATGTGCCTAGTTAATTTCTAACTGATTAAAAATATGTTCTTGTCTTCGGAAATGATTCAGCGGTTACTAGGCTTACTACAGTAATTAAATTGTCAAAAAATAATGGTTTTGTTTGCATTTAAGCAATAATCGATATGGTCATAGCTGACTAACAACTAACATTGTTTAAAATGACATTTATAGTCTGACAGAACCAGTTTTCTTCCGTTTTAGCTCATGCTTCTTTTGTGATATAGAAATACTTGTAAATTAGATATATAAATTTATAAAAAAGTATATTATTTTCTAATAACTATAGTTAAATTTTGACAACGTAAGCGTTACCGTATACATAATTAATTCCAGGTAAATGAAATGTGACAGTAGAGTATATATATCATTAATTTTTTGTCTACATACGTAGAAAGAAAAATTTATAGTATTTATTTTCGTCACACTGGTATTTCAATTAATTTACATAAAACTTTAACGAATTACACATGTAAAACTTCCTATCACACTATTGATAGACTAAACAGCCCTGAAAATTTCGCGAACATATATACAAATGAGACCTTGATTTATAACATGTATAAATTGTGCATACTATTGAAATAAATGTAATTTTATATCATTTGTATTGTTTGCTTTAAATTATCTCAAGGTTACATCGAGTCATTATACTAAAAAAGTCATAAAAATATGACTAACAAATTTAACTTGTTTATTTATTGAATGTATTTTACAACGATGCTTATAAGAACGTCAGTATAAAGGTATAAAATGTATATTCACGGAAATATTCACAAAAGTGCAAAGTACGTTTCTACATTTCTGTTTGAATACACTAATGTGTATATTATGTGTTCTATTTATATCTATCCTATTTATTAGTGTGTCATACATATTTATGATATGGTATATAATATACATACATATATATTCAATTTTTACGTATTATAAGTATGTATACATTTATTCTAATGTAAGTATACAACAACAGGCAATTAAAAATCATTTTGTTCATTCAGAAGATAATGAACGATTTTCCCATTGAAAACAACAACTTTTGGTTTGAAGTATATTGATATAAGAAAATCTTCTCCCTACTAATTAACATATTAATTAATAAACAAGTTAATTGGCATTTCTAGATATTATCAATTATATTGTGTCAAATCTGATAGGTTACTGATTCATGGTGCTGTTCATGGATATAGGCAACGATTGTCACTTAGCATCAGGTGATTATTTGCTCAGGTTAAAAACAACTGTTTTGTTGCTTAATAATAAAATTATTAATTCTGTCTCTACATTAATGAGTAAATATGAATAATAAATTTCACAAGTATAATTCAATAATACACTTTTAATTATTATTTTATTGAGATTAATTTTTAGCTACTTTATCACTGTTATTTTGTACTGTTATAATTTACGATGGACCTAATAAAATTATACTTTTATCCTGCATTAAAATATATCTGCTTATTTGTTTCTTATTATACTTTATCCATTAAAATATAAAGTTGTTCTTTAGACATGATGCAGATTGCAAATTTTTCTATGTTATGATGACGTTATAACTAAATTTTCTTATCTTCAAGAACATAGTGCGTATGTAATTCATTATTATTTTAATCAGTAACCTCTGATATTTATGACTCTTTCAGAAATAACTATGTACAGTGTTGTTAAATGCCGATGTCAAGGAACATTTACACATATAGTACAGACCGGATTATCTAAAATATTGCAAACTTTGGAACATCCACTGTCATGTCTTAGCTTTGACGTCTAATTTTAAAAACTTGCAATTTTTGAGTTAATTCAATATTATATATTGGACGCGACCATTACAACCAGTGTAATGTCGCGTCCAATATGTTAGTTAGGTAGTATTATAAAGTGGATAGATTTATTTGTTTGTAATTAAAAAACTTAAAAAAACTAACAAAGAGAAGTAGTATGCAAGCAGAAGTAAGAAGCAGTATTAACAACAGACCATCTGTCACAAACTTCAAGTAGGGTGAAATTTTCTGCAATGATTTTTTTACGTTTTCAACTAATACGAAAAAGATAATATTTTGCATCTATCAAAAAATATTAGACCCATTTTAAGAAATTGTTACCTGGCCTACATATACATTATCATCGTATGGGTTGTATTTAATTAAAAATACCAGTTCAGGTGATACAAAAACTAACTTCAATCACATTAATAAAGACATCTCAAAAACTGGTCAAACTTTGATCAAAATATGGGACCACATAAGACGCCTTCAAATAAAAAATGACTGTCAAACAAAAATGCTTTACGTAAAAAAAAGTTCTGAAGTAACATGGGAACCTCCGGGTCGGGTCGGTGTAGTCTAAGATATAAACACAAATTTGCATAAACATTTACTGTGCAAAATTGAATAGAGAATAATAACAACAATAAAAATATTCAGTCTTAACATCATCGTGATTCTTCTGCTGAGCTGAAGTTGTATTCGGTGTACATGACTTCATCATGCAAAGGGGGGAGAATGCAGTCCAGATCCACGTACAATTGCCGCTGGGCGGTAAGTTTATCCACTATTTGAGCAAATGTTGGCCGGCTGTTGGGCTCGTCCGACCAACATTCCACCATTAGTTGGTAGAGTCTGGGAGATGCCCTTGCGGGCTTTTGTAGGCGGCTCCCGCTCGCCAGGAACGCTGGTATTTGGTGATTACTGAGTTCACCATATGGGAAGCCACCTGAAATAAACAGAAGTGCAATTTATTAGAGATCTACTTTGCACGAAGTCTCCATGTGTAACGCGAAAAAAAGTTTAAAACAGTAAAATATATCGATTCTGTTCAATGATTCCGGAATTACTCTCCTAACAAAATCATATCATTTAATATATTATCATAAATATAATAACATCAAAATAATAATAATTTCTCAAATTTACACAACTCCATCTAGTCCCAACGTAAGTAGAGCTTGTATTATGGGTACTAGATAATGATAAAAATACTTAGATACATTATGATTCTAAATACGTACATAATATATATAGAAAATACAAATGTTTGTACCGTGCGAGGAATCGAACTCACGATCATAGGTACTTCCTATGGTCGTGGGTTTGATTCAAGTGGTAAAAAAAATATATTAAATACGAACCTAAAGTAGCTATTTCCCACAGTAACACAGCGAATGCCCAAACATCACTAGCGCTGCAGTACTGCGAGTGTAGTATAGCTTCAGGCGCCAACCACCTCAGTGGTACAGGGTTTGATCTTGTATGTACATACACTCCTGTTCTGGAGAGGCCGAAATCAGCCACCTTCAAGACACCGGCGGCGTCCACAAGGATATTGCGAGCCGCGAGGTCTCTGGAAAGAAATATTTTCAAACTAGAATAATAAATAATTTTTCGTCAAATGAATATTCTTCAGTAGAATCAGCACCAAGGCATAGCTTGTAAAAAGTCGTAGATATGTGTTTAAGCCGTTTAATTTTTAATTGATGGTAATGGACTAGTGCAACAAACTGCGCTATGGGTATATGCTGGCAGGACACCAGTGGAACATGATAGTGTGGTAAGGGGATTGTTAGTAATGTGGATTAATAACCCTATTAATTTACCATATTTTCTTGACCTCCCCCCATGGAAACCTTCATGTTAAATTCTTGATGAAATTGCCACGATGAGCTAACTGACCTGACTTTATACACATCTCATTCTCCACTGGTGCCCTGCTAACGTAGGTGCACTATTCCACTGTCATTCATTAAAACATCATGATAATATGAGTATGAGGTCCTTTACCCCATCGGGACTAATTTACCTGGTAGCAACCATAAAGGTTGGACCACGTCGAGGTTGTACCTACATTTGCTAGCAACCAGGTTGTACCTTCCCTCTCTATTGTTATAAGTTGTTCATTATTATTCTTTCTTCCCATCGTCTCCAAACAAACAAACCTTTTAGCTATAAATGTGCAGAGTAGTCTAACTACTCCAAAGTCTAAATGGTTTACCCTTAGGGATATAAATGTTAGAAACCACTCATTAGGTACCTACATGAGTATACGGGCCTCTAACAATTTAAGTAAAACTATATTATTTAGATCACCGGTACAAAACTTATAATTCGCCTGCGCAATCCACTTTGAATAAATCAATGAATATTACGACTTACGACAAAAGATTTTATGTTCCAATCTGGGTGACAACAAAAAAATCTTTTCATATTAATTAGTTATCCTACTATCCTCACTGTTATAACAGTCGTGAAGATGTTATGTTTCTTATGTAATTTATAGGCAACAATAGATATTAGACTTATCATATTTTATATTACCATTTTAAAGCCCCTTATCAGTTTATTCAATGAATTTTAGAATTTATATAAAACTTATGTAAGTAAACTTTATTTCCATAGCGGTAGAGGTCACAATTGTTTAATATTTTTTCCATTATTCATTCTTTCGCGTCGAGCTCCTAACAACAGTTGCTAAGCGATAAATCTCTAATGTACGTTTGCGGACATTTTACGAACAGGCGTCGGTCAGCTTTGTTACCAAAATACATTTATATGAACACAGCAATTTCTTTATCTGTACATATAATATGTACAGATAAAGAAATTGCTGTATATGTATTACATGTTTATGATTCTGGATGGCGTAATTAGATTTCACATAGAATATATCATTTCCTACTAATATACAGTTTTGATGATGGTGTTTCCAAGAACATGATAATTCATAGTCAAAGGATAGTAATTATGGAGATTTGTGAATTAGGATTTGTCATAGATATACAATATTTACTCTAAATGATTAGTATGAAACTTCTTTCATCGTAATTTGATCCGTTAACGTATTGATTTAAAAATTAGTTTTCAATAGCCGTAAAATTATTTACTGAGTGTTTACCGTGATGTATATAAGTTTACCACTTACGCAATTTTTTATATTCAGCCGGTATTGGTGTCGGTGTTTGTATATAATATGTACCTATGTATTTACTAAAAAAATTGTATTTAAGTATTTTTATCAGCAATCTCGTATCGTTAAAAGAAGCTGTTTAGTTCGATTATAATTGTTATTACTTGGCAATATAATTTTGTATAGTTTTCCTAATAAATGTCTACATAAAGTATAATGGGAGTACCCACTAAGATGAGTTTAATGGAGGCGACTTGCCGTATTATTATGTAAGTAGGTTATGTAGGTGGGTGGAAGCTTAGGGGTTGTAACATCGATTATAAGTTGGCTTATCAGTTTGGTACTACGTGGTACGTAAGTTACTGGACGCAGCTAAATATGTTGGTAAAGTTATTATAGCTACCTACGTAGATAAAGTTATTAATTAACTGTATTTGAATATTTATGTAGCAAAGATTATGACGTACAAAAATCTTTACCATATGCATGTATTGACGATCTCGGTGGCCGTTTAGCACAACGCTTTAGTATTGATGATCGCAGGTTCGATTGCTTGCACGGTCCAAACATGTGTATCGGTCGGGGTATTTTCCATGTATATGTATTATCTCTTATTGTGTATGTATTTACAAAAAAAATTGTATCTAAGTAGTTATATCGGAAGAAATATCTCCTTTGGAAAGTATACCTGAGGAGATAAAAACCATCGCTCCTGGAAATATCCTTGCATTTTTGTCCCTGACGGGCCTAGGTAGCGAACTTTAAAAGGGCGAACACAATAGTTCCATGCAGGTCGCAGTGTTACAAGTCTTAGCACCTGAAGATAGTCTAAACACTAAAAAATATATCAGTTATCTTGTACTCATTATACAAGCTGCTTAGCATGCCTAGAATAGTCCTGAGATATTTTATTATTACTTAGATATGTGACGCTATATTCACTGATCACTACATTCTCCATTATTGAATTTATAAATGAACCTGTATTTTTGTAATCATGTTTAAGTTCATTTGAAACGAATAAGAGCTGTGTTTCTTGTCAGTTCTACTTCGAAAGTACTCCGACAGGAGATTTGACATAAGAGGCTGTAACAGACAACCTACATTAATAAAGATATCTCGATTATTTCCCTAAAATATAGTAATATTATGTTATCTCTGGTAGAACGTAGGGATGGCTGGCTCATCTGTCAAACTTGTGAACGTATGCTGTTTGTAGGGACTGGTCTGTTCTAATCTTTACGACTGCTTTAATCTTGTATCGTTTTGTGTATTTAATATTTTGACTCTAATGATTTAGTGCGATTTGGTAGGTTGTATTACCAAAGTTACAACAATTATTTAAAAGAGCAACACGTAAGTTTCTTGTTCATTCTTGTGATGAAATAGCTTTCCGAATGAGCGGTAGGTCAAAAAATAAGTGCCTAAAAATTTAAGTTAGTTTAAATATATGTTGACTAAAGAAATTTCTATTTTTACGTATAATTAGTAAAAATCACGGGATCTTACCACTGATGATACAAACTGATCAGTTTACCCGTGATCATGGTGGTTTGAAATATTTAAATATAAAACGTGGTTTTGATTTTTGTAATTTCGTATGGATAGTCAAGTTTAAAACAATTTCTATTTTATTCTTTGTTTTAATTTTGATTTGTAATTCATGGATAGTCAGTTAGGAAAAAAGATTTTATAAGTAAAGATTTGAATAAATGCGGCTCCATAAATTTAATCTGGGCGGCCACTTTGTTGTAATCACTTCGTTTAGCGTCTACCTTAATTATTATTGATCAAATTTCAACCATTCTCATCTTAATTATATTTAGTGTAATTAACTCGCTACAGCGGAGTAGAACTTTCGGCCGTTGTTTATTACAAATATATTTTAGTTTTCAATTTACTTAATGTTTCTAAATTATTTCATGCAAATGTATAATAGATTTGTAGGCAGAACGATAACTAAATATAATTTATATGGAGTCTCAGATTTTATAAAATAATAGAATCTAGAATGAGCTATGTTTTTTGTGCATGTTTACTTATTTACAATCATATAGAATACACAGGAAATTGAACCATCCGAAGCAAGAAACAAAGTCGAAATCTGAATAAAATTATTTATGGATCTAAATACTATACGTGAAGGAAAATCTTTGTTCCCCTGTTTATGGAAATTGTACGGATGGAAGAGTATGTTTCGCATACTTATATTTATATGTATAGAGAAGGAGTGCAGGAAGTACTTAAAATTAATTATAATAATTTCTTAATAATTAAATAATTTCTCTATACTTTTAAATTATGCATAAAAATACATAAAGTCCATAAAAACGACATTACACACATTACATATATTTGATACACATATTCTTACTCACATATACTCTTATGTTTATTGTAAAAGTGTGTGGTCGAATTGGGAATAGATTAAATTGTTTGTTTTTAATATTATTTATCTATAGTATTACATATAATATTATGTTATCTGTGGTATTACTGAATGTTGAATTAATTATGGTTGAATTTCGACCATTGGACCAAATATTGTGATAATAACAAATAAATTTGTGAGACACAATTTAATTTGATGCCAGTAGTATGTCGATGACATATTAGTACATATTACGATACCAAAAATATTACAATAGGTAGGTAACACAAAGCATATGTATATATTCATGTTTAACATGACCCTGGATACACCGGCTGTCGTTAGGCGTTCCCAGAAAATCCCTCCAATTTCCCGGAATCTAGATGAGCTTATCCCAGCGAACGGTAAGACGATCAAATAGGTAAACTTGTACGCTAATAAAGTCTCGCGACGTCAATAAACTTTGCACGTAAATTGATATTTCTGATTGACTCTCCCGCGATGGAAACACTGACAACAAACTAAAATATTCCAACCGACGGCGGTAAGCTCTCTAAAATATATCAGTTGTCTAGTAGCCATAAAACAAACAGCGCTTACCTTGGAATTAGATGCCACCTGATGAATTGTCGAAGTATAATATTTTTATGATTATTAATTTTCCTTTAGAGTTTTAAATCAAATATACATTTTAAAGAAAAACAAAGTAACGTATGTATATTATAAATGTATTTCATATTGTTATACTTTTTCAGTTACAGCCCTTTTACTACAGAATAGGTAAGATATTATTAGTAAAAGCCAAAGCTAAGTGAATGCTTTGGTTTCTTTTGAAAGAAAAAGAAAAGGGATAAGCCGTATCAGCGCCAGGTGCAAAAGAGGCAAGTCCGTTAAGAAGAAAATCGTGTACAAGTCATATAGAACATTTTACGTGCATAATGTTCATATTAAATATTTACACAAAAGACTTCTTACATCATAGACCAGAGAGAGAATAATTAATTGAATTACTTTCAGAACGTTTTGCCCATTCGTATATTTATCCTGATTACAAATCAAGTATTCATAAGATTTGTATGACTTTGATTGTTCCAAAATCCGAAAAAGAAATGGATGGACGGTATGAAAGATATAGCAAGAAAGGAAATGAATAACCAGATGACTGCGAACAGAGGTGAATGGAAGAGAAAGACATATTACGCTCAAAGTTTGTAATTTCGTATATATGCAGTTACTTTATGCAGTTGACGATTATTTACAACTAAAATTATTTTTTACAATTATATTGCTTTATGTTTCTAATATGTTAATGAGGCCTAAAATTACAATATATACGCAAATCCTCTTCAAAGTGATACTTCTATATCTCTTTCCTCTATAGTACTCTATACAATAGTCAGTCAGTAAATCCTGTCAGTCACGTACTTGTAGGGACAAAAGTATGTTCAAATACAACACTGTACGTTCTATTAGAACAGACAAAAATAAACTCTGATGACATCAGCTCGTCTGCCGTTGAGATATTTCGCTACTGCAAACGAACTTGCAATTTCCTTGGTGATGCGGTGACTTACCATCAAGTGAGCCATAAGCTCGTTTGTTTATAAAAAACGTAGAATTGAAGAATATATTTGAGTCATAATAAATTTACTCTATATACACTTATCAGTATTAGGTTTAGTCACGATTAAAGATTTGCTATGTTAACAATGATTACCTGTGGGTAATTCCTCTCTCTTCTAAATGCCTCATGCCCAGCGCCACCTGCAAAGCGTACTCCCTCATGGTGCTGCTGTCCAGGTGGAGCGCTGGCTCGGCCACATAGTGGTCTTTAGTCTTCGGTTTCTCATTATCGTACAACTTGGTTTCACTGAGAGTTGGGTCCGAGTCGCTGATATTTGTGTACTCAGCTGGAAAAGGTGACAGAAAACATGTTACTGTGATCACTGTAATGAAGATTCTATTCCAATAGAAGTAGGTACTTCGATATTTATAAAAATTAATAGAATCTATAAGAATAAACTGCACACTATATGTCATATATATGCCTATGCCTATACGTTTATATACTAGAACTAGAGGTGCACTTATTCTGAATTAATAAATTTATTTATAAAAGTAGTAGGCGGTAATACTCGTATTTCTGGCCTTTGTGTCGTACTTTTCGTAGCTTCATTTAGCGTATCGTATCCGTCAGGCAGGGGTTGGCCTTCAGCCGCTCCATAAGTCCTTCCGCGCGTTTGGAGTGCCATCTGCACTCGCCCCCTAACGTCCGGTGAAGCTGTAAAGGCCAGCTGCGGTCAACAGCATTAGAGTAGTCCGACAAAAAAAAAAAATTTGGCGTATGTTGACTCATATTAAAACATGCCAACACAATAAACATACACAAACAAAAAAACTGTTTTCGTCTCGATAGGATTTTTCAATTTTATTAAATGTAAAGGTGACTAATATACTTATATCTCATAAGAATAAACCATCTTGTCTATATTTATGTAAATTTTTGTGAAAAAAATAAGGATTTCTTCAAAGTTAGCGAAGATTTATCTTCGTAGTCTGTACCATCATTTAACTTTGGGGTGAAAACTATAAATAATTGAGAAGTTTTTTTAAAGTCAGTTGAAAACAGTACAGCTTTGTATTTTCCATATTACTACATGTAAAATACAAAGCGAACAGATATATATATATATATGATATCAAAAAGCAGATAAAGAATATACTATTTTCTTTAAAAACAAGAACAAAGAGGAAATTAAAATTTACCCACACTATAATTATGTAATTAGAGTACTGTTTTGAAGTGATCAGTTGAAAATTGCCGTAGTAAGTAATTGCCTACAACTTGCTTAAGGCGCTATGTAAAATTAGATATTCACTACAAGTAAATTTGTATTATTAGATATATAGAACACGATACGGAAGCAATAGGATTAATTTGTTGGGTCTCAGGAATGGTAATAGCAAATACATGTGCCAATACAAACTAAGAGTACCCAGTTATCAGGTGGGTTGTCAACTTGTTTGTCATTCGTATTTACTTAAAATTTCTTTCTAAGATAAAGACTATGTTTTTGTACATTTACTAACATTGTAAATGCGATATAAGATGTCCTATTCTATTTTCATTACAAAAAAGACTGCTTATCCAATGAACGTGTCTGGATGTGATCCTCTGTCTTTCATATTTTTTATGATAATGGAAAAATAATCCCGTCTACGCTACTGGGATTCGTTGTCAAGACACTAGGGATATATAAACAAGGCATGACGTCAAGTTACTTTTATTAGTTTATCGTGACCGATTAATAAGGATCTGGCTGTCCCGTGGCGATGCCAGCGTGAGCTCGAGTAAGAGTGTAATGTGTTGATCTATACTAATATTATAGAGCTGAAGTGTTTTTGGGTTTGGTTGAATGTGCTAATTTCAGAAAATATTGGTACATATTGAACAATAATTTATTGATTACTAGCTGTGCCCGCGGTTTCACCCTCGTTAAATTCCAATATAAAATATAGCCTATGTGTTATACTGATATATAAGCTATATTACTGTAAAATTTCATCAAAATCCGGCCGTTCAATAGTTTTTGCGTGAAAGAGTAACAAACATCCATACTCAGAAAATTTGCGTTTATAATATTATTAAGATTAGCCCATGCATATATGGTTACGCTTTGTAACATAATGCTACGAAAAATAGGAGCGGAGGAGCAACATGTAAAGGTGAAATAAGGTAGTAAAGTTACAGGTTAAGAGACAAGATATTTTCATCTTCTGAAACAGCAACTCATGAGCGGGCGTCAAATGATAACGTGATGTTGGTAGTACTTGTCACACACTTACTACAAACATTTACACTGTTAACACGAAAAAAGTATTGAAGGCTAATTTTAAGAACTTACAGTCATTCTCAGACAGATGTGGTACAGTGGAGTCACTGTCGACTCTCCTGGTAGCGTTAGAGTCGCAGCACTGGTCCGTCTTCCGTTTACCCCTAGCTGCCCTCAGTAGTGATAGCAGATCGCCTCTAGGAGCGTGTTCCAGTAAGGCTATGAGCGGCGCGCGCTTGGTACAGCAGCCGATCAGCCTGATGACGTGTTTGTGAGATCCAACATGTTTCAACATGTCGATCTCTCGGAGAAAATCTTGCATCTCTTCTTCTGATGCGTTTTCTTGGAAAATGAAATTCTTTTTACTCTATTGTATTTGGAAAGTTACTAATACGTTAAATAACAATAACAACCTTGGATAATTCAACTAGATGAGTTCTATGCTAATCAGAGCTTGTGTTGTGGGTACATACTGATATAAATAGGTACTTAGACACTTTTTTGTAAATACATATATCCATAGAAATCACTCAGACTTATACAATCATATTCATGAATATAAATGCACCATGCGAGGAATCGCACCCGCGACCATACAAAAACATATACCATCGGAAATAAAGCGGTGTGCAAAACCGCTAGACTACTAAAGCCTTTTAAACAATCGTATTTAAGAGTTTAATATGCTTTGAATTAATTTGAGTGTTTTTTAAACAAATATGAATGTATTGCCCAAAAAAGCAAATTCAAGTAAGTCTATTTATTTCCTGTAAGTATAAGTTTTCTTGAGTTGGAGCCTAGGTAGCGCTTTGTAAGTTTTTCAGGGTCTTTATTAGAGAACAAATATTACTACGTGTGTATTAGACAGAATAAAAAGTATTTCTACAAATTTGTGCCAATTATTGTTAGATCGTAGCGTATGATTAAAACATTTTTTTAGGTTTACCTGACAACATTTTAGCGGCCACAGTGACTGTTTCTCCCTTTGGTGTGTCCAATTGTGCTACATGGACCCTGCCAAATGCACCGCTGCCAATCATTGAACCGAGATGCACTCGTGACCAGCTCACTTCCCATTCGTCAGCACCTTCCATTTCTTCATATTGCTTAAATGAAGAAACATCAAAATATATTTAAGAAATGATGACTGGAGGTAGAGTTTGAATAAAGTCCTCTGTAGATTAGATAAGTTAGATGTCTTCAATTAAAAAATCTTATCCTGACTCATGAACTCAAACTAAGAGTAATATTCAGTAATCCAAAGCATAATTTCACTGAAGTCCGTCCTGGCGTTTTAGAGGAGTTAGGCGACAAACTCGCATACAACTACATAACAATTCAAATATATTAATATTATTTACAAAATAAGTAATAAAATACTGGAAAATAATTGGACAGCTAAATTAAATAATAAATTATAGAATAAAAATACGTATAGACTACATAATAAGCATAAAATTTACTTAAAACTTACCTCAAAATCTTTGTGAATATACAACGGGCTCTGTTCAAATTGTGCTCTAGGCAGGTCATTGTTCCTGTGAACAATACAAAAAGATCTATTTCAATTATGTAAATTTATTCTTTTATTCTGTATTTTACAGTAAAAATATATACCTACATAAATTTGTATGTAATTTATCTATAAAAAGTAATTTGTTCTGGCAAAAACCAAAGGCGTTGTTTTGCAAAAGAAACAAACAGATGAACTACTTAATCTACAAAAAAAATGCATAAGGATTATATCCATTCAGAATTGGCAAAAATATAAAAAATGTAAAACATAAAATATGAGTATAATTTTATTTTTTTTATATTAAATTAAAATATCTAGCAATAAAAAAATATTAAAATAATTACAACTTTATCTTTTTATAGGTTGCCAAAAAAAAGATTCTCCTGTCATTCGCATTTGTGTCTAAAGACTGAACTGGGCGATAGGGAAGAAAATAGGATATCAAATTTACGTTCATAAGTGATAAAAATGTTCTCCATGAAAATTGCTATTTTGTAGCCTTTATATAGGTACACTGTAATATTATTAATTAAAAAAATCTTTCTGATTGCTATTATGTCCTATTAAATGTATGATATTTATGAGTAATTTTATAAGGTTGTTAATATATTCTACACACAGGAATGGAATGACTTAACAAATTTCACATTTCATTGGAAGCAATCACATAATCTTAGTTTTATAGTCTTACACCATACAATACATAGAGAAAAAGACTCGCACAATGACGAAATTATAATCATCATTAAAAAATCTCTACGGGATTGGATTGTTGATTATATTGCACCACTAGGCTGTGAGGGCAACACTATGTTCATCCCATCCCATGTCGTACGCAATATTGCACTGATAGTGATGAGACGTGAGAGGATATTTATATCGATAATCGACATCGATTATTGATTTACACATATATGTAAAATTATCATCGTTCTAATAAACTATTAATGATCCACATTAGTTGTTGCATGATATTATTAAGTAATTTCTTATAAGTCACCCGTTTACCAAACATATCAATACTTCTTAAGGTATCCTCTGAATCACACAATACAGACTTGCATGTCTAGTGTGTGGTTCGCCGTATTATTATAAATATAAAATTGTTTTGTTACTATTAATACTAAGTTTTATAAAAAAAGGATTTACTATAATGTTGGAAACATTTGGCCAGACGGCTTGCCATAGGTGATTAGTGGTTATCACGTTTCTGTGTTTATCATCGAACTTATGTTTTTAGTATAATAGTATTTTAGTAGTAGTTGTAAGATATAAATAGAACATGAATGTTTCGAATTCATTATATTGTTGTTACCCGGAGGTTAGAAACACATTTAAAAATGTTTCGTTTCATCACAGACGCGAGGAGAATATAGCTAGAGGTGAATGACTATTCAGTTGAATATAAAATAATAACCGAGATTAAAAAATAACACGATATAAAATGTAATTAATAAGAGTTACGCCTACTTCAACGATAATTTTATCCTTATTGGTACGTTCTTTAATAATTTCCTTAAGGCAGTGGTAGATATATAGGTAAATATCACTTTAGATATATGAGACTCTGGGTACGAATCTAAATTTTGTCAATATATGTAGATAAAAAATCTTTCTAAGGTGACCCGGATCTGAGTGTATATAGTTTTGCCCCAGGCGTTTGTCTAACATTCGCCAATCCTCACTGGAGAATGGAGAAATGGCTATTCATAATACTTACTGATAAATAATGATTTATTTATCCAAACAGACTTATGTATCTATTAACACATAGCCTAAAGGAAATTGAAAACTACAAGTTTCGAATATGGGTTCATTTTATTACATAAGAGGATATATTTAAATTCCTATGAGATAACGTATTAGCTCAGGCAAATTTGACGCAAACGCTTATTAATATTAAGTAGTTAATTATCATTACGCCTTCGACAGTAAATTTGTTTTATAATCTTACGTCTAATAAGCAATAGTAAGCTTTCATCTTTTCGAAACTAAAATCATCTCGATCAACTATTAACCTTTTGAATTACAATAACTAACATTTGTAATTTTATTAAAGGTCGATGATTATAATAAATTAATTTATTTATATCGATATTGATGTGATACATCATTTCTCAGCGCATCACTAGTGTCAGGGGTCAGTAGCTTGCACAGAGACGTACTAACTAACATGATGTAACTTTTACGCAAACGTGATTTACGTTACCATTCACGGTACCTACTGGAGCTTAGATTTAAAAATTTGTGACATAAGCAAATCTAAACTTTATGACTTTGTTTCACAGTAGCAAATACTTTTTCTTTGCAATTAATATCTTTGGAATGGCCTAAAACAAAATGAATTGTCCAGTATTTCGTGATTTGCTAGTCCGTTTATTCTTCGAGCTGTTTCAATGAAATATAGCTTTTGGTCAGTTGTAGTTTTTTTTGATGGATTTAAACAAAAATATAGTATAAGAACTAGTATACTATATTGCATATAAATATAGTGTACCTAGTTCTTATACTATATTTGCAGTATAATAAAAGGAATTGCAGTTCTATCTATCTATTATATATCCTTAGTTTATGGTAAAACTAGGCAGCTTCTTTACAAGCTATTCGATTTTAATAGTGATCTGGGAATGAAATGAGTGCGTGCTTTGACATCATACATTTGTTCTTTGGATGGTAATTCATAAGAACCAGGTAATTGTGCAATCAATGAGGTCTGTGGATTGAGCATATTAGCTACTCCAGCTGATAAGAACTGGTATGAATGGCAACTGGTACATTTTATGTTTTATTATTTTATACATCATATTTATACCTATTTAGTCATTTACAATGAGCACCATAGATTACAAAATACATATGTATTTACATCAGTTGTCTAGTACCCATTATACAAGCTCTGCTTAGCTTGGGACAAGATGGTGGTAGTGGACTGCTGTGTAGCCGTTTTTATAAGGTCATTGAGGTCGTCAAATTTAATGAAAATACAAAAATACACCACTTAAGTTAATTTATCCCTCAAATTGTATTTTTAAGACTAGTTAATTAGTATTTAATGTTTAAGTAAATGAACTTAATTAAAACTTATAACAAACCTTTTTCATATTTATGAGCACCGAATATTAAACTATATTGAAAATTATATTAATTAAGATGGATATGCTTTTAATGTTTATATGTGATTTCTAGTTTATTTTTAATGTCGGCTTGCAAAAATAATGGATATTTACTTTGTAATATGTGGGGATTTAATATTACAATATAAATATAGTATTAATGTTTACACTGATTTACTTTCCAGTCCAGTTCGCGGGTTCGATTCCTCGCATGGTACAAACATTTGTATTAATGAGTACGATTGTTTGTATTGGTCTGGGTCTTTTCTACTATATATGTAATACGTGCGTATTTAAAAAATGTATTTAAGTAAGTATTATACCAGTTGTCTGGTACTCAACATAAGCTTCGTTCAGTTAGGGATTATATGGCGCTGTGTGAATTGCCCTGGGTGTCGGATTATTATTATCAACTTAATTACTTCAGCAGATTGAGACGAACCTGCTAGTCAGTAGCTTTCTTATATGACAGACATTGTATCGTCATCCATTAATGATCTAGGACAACACTGTGAGGGCTAATAAAAAAATACAAATTTGAATATTAATCTATACTAATATTGAAAAGCTGCAGAGTTTGTTTCTTTGTTAGAAAGCGCTAATATCAGGAACTACAGGTTCGAATTGAAAAATTATTATTGTGTTAGATATTTCATTTGCCGTGGAAGGTTTTAAGCTATATAACATTACGCTACAACGAATAGGAGCGGAGTTACAATGAATAATAAGGCAAAAGGTAGAGAAATGAAACGCAGACGAAGTTACGCAGGTCAGCTAATATACATATATACAATATCTCATCTGATATAACGAATATATATAACGATATAACGATAACATCATCGTTATCGTTTCAGTCAACTCATCGTTTTCTGCTGAATATTACGTTACGATAATTACGTTAAAATGTAAAATGTAAATTACAGGTCATTTACTGATTCGTTATCTGGATTTGATTCGCCATTCACCACTCACTTGCTCTTTGGCTTTACGCATTGCAATTTATTTGATTTAGTGATTGAATTTATAAGCAAATTCGATTTTAGTTGAATAATTTAGTAAGGTATAGTCCTAATAAAACTTTGTTAATTGAAACCCAAAAAAGCTGAAAATTTTACGTGACAAAATAGCAGGATTCATCAGTTTTTTAAACTCGTGTAGTAATAAAGACCATTTTTTTAAAACCTCAATAATATTATAAATGCGAAAGTAACTCATGAGAAAGGACATCGGCTACTTTTTGATGCGAAAAAGGGTTGTAAGTTGTTGATGAGATTGAACGTCACATGCACAGCTAGTATTATAATAATAAATCAATGATACGAGATAAACCTATACATATATAATAACGAAACATAAAAGATACTCAATTACTATAGTGTAACAATATATTTTGGGAAAACGGAACGTAAAATATATTGAAAATGCTGTTTTTTCTCGAAAACTTGTGGTTTGAGCAGGTGTAATGTTTCTCAGAAAATGAACCTGTAATTCCTTTTAACAAGCATCGGGTGTCAAAAGAAAAGTGGTTGGCACAAGTAATTTTTTAATGGATTATATTACAACATAAATCTATGTTTATTTACATTTAATATTCAATCTGGTCCGGTTTATTGAAATTATTTATCCAATAAAAACAATTTTGTATTTTAAAGGTCAACATTTGGTCATGGATTTTATAATTACAGTTTTTGTGGACTGAAATGGTAAACAGTTACCGTGATGGAAAGTGGTGACCACCAGAACTCAATACAAGTTTATATTCTTGCATTTCTCACAATATTCTAGGACAGGATTTAATTACAGCGTAATAACTATTTAGGTCATAATTTATGAGTATAATTCTTTGTAATCTTTCTAAATTGAATTGGATTCTGAATTCTTCTTGATTTTCCATACAATCCAGGCA